CACCTCAAAAATAAAATAAAGGGAAAAATTTAAAAATAATTTAAAAAAATATATTTAAAAACATATGTACATTTTAAACATAAATTTATTTATTCTATGTAATTTAATGAAAGAAAATGTCACATTTATTGGCTTTTGCCTAAAACATTTTTGCGCGCCTTTTTTCATTATTGACGCTTGGAAGAATATAGAGAATGGCGCATTGCGTGCATTTGAAAGGCTTTTATAAGTGAATATTTCTTTAGATACATATAAAAGAAAAATAAGAGGGGAGGTAGACATTAAAAATATATTTTTTTTATTTTTTTAGTACTACTTAATTTGAAGGACTTGGAAAAAGTTTTTAAGGGAAATTATGCTAAAAAATATTTTAAAATATAAGGAGGGGAAGGGGGGTGGGGGGAGAGAGTAACAGAAGGTGTATATTTTAATAGTTTACCTTTTGGCTGTAAAAAATAATCAGAAATACATAAGCAGAAGTTAAAAAATAAAATCTGTTAGCCTCTATGGATTTGTAAAAATTTCAGTTTTTGGATAAAAGATATACCCGAATCGGCTTGTCATTCAATTTACTAAATAGGACCAGACCTGCTCAGATAATATCTTAGCAGGTCAGATAATATCAGATATCAAGATGCCTGCGGCGCCTGTATCCGCCATAAATATCCGGACATGGATACCAAAATCAGTATCTGTGAGCAGGTCTGAATCGGGCAAAAAAAGATTCAAAAAACAACAAAATTTTAAAAAATCTCCCCCCCCCCCCCTAATTTGTCAACAGAAAAATTTAAAAACCAAATAAAAAACTTAAAAATACAATCAGCGAGTTTCAATCTTTTAATTACTGGCTCAAAAAGAGGGCTTGTTAATTAACAATATTTTATAGTGTTTTATGGAGTAGAACTTTTAAAATATGAAAATGTATAAAACACCATAAAAACACCAAAAAATTAGACATAAGTACAGTCGTGGAAAAAAGTATGGAAGCGCTAGAAAATTTTTTCTTAATTCTTAATTTTTCATTCAAAAAATACGTTCTATATATCAATCGAAAGCTCTATTCGTATCTCAGTTGACATGTTTCTGCATTTTTCATGAAAATGACAATCGGCCGAGATAATCCGGATCTACCGAATATACCAAATCCCATTTTTTCGGAAAAATTTTTCTGAACAAATTTAACAAACCCAAATGATAAAGCATATTTTTCTGCGTATTTATCACAAAACCGCTTTGAAATATCTTTTTCCGGAGCAGAGATATGATTTTTTGAAAATCGCATTTTTCGCTTAAAAATTGAATTTTTTGCAAAAATAGACGAAAAATGCGATTTTCAAAAAATCATATCTCTGCTCTGGAAAAAGATATTTCTTAGCGGTTTTGTGATAAATACGCAGAAAAATATGCTTTATCATTTGGGTTTGTTAAATTTGTTCCGAAAAATTTTTCCGAAAAAATGGGATTTGGTATATCCGGTAGATCCGGATTATCTCGGCCAATTTTCATTTTCATGAAAAATGCAGAAACATGTCAACTGAGATACGAATAGAGCTTTCGATTGGTATATAGAACGTATTTTTTGAATGAAAAATTAAGAATTAAGAAAAAATTTTCTAGCGCTTCCATACTTTTTTCCACGACTGTATATTTAAAAAATTTTTAAATAAAAATATAAATGAAGAATATTGCGCACGAGGAATTAAAATGACGAAAAAATTAGTTAAAATAAAAGGATGAAAAGCATGTACAGGATTTTATAATTATAATATATTCATTTAAAAATAAAAAGAAAATAAATGTAAACAAAAATTTAATTAAATAATATTTTTTAGAAATACATTAGAGGATTTAATATTTAGTTAAAAAGAAAAATTTGTTTAATATTTTGGTGTTTGTTGTTTTGGACAAAATATTTTTTAAATAAAATAAAAACCAAACATTTCTTGATTTTTAAAGAATCTCTTGCGCCCACCCCTGAGCGAGCTTCAGCTCGGCGAGCTTCGACCACCATGAAATATACACCCTGAAGACTCAGTACCAGCTATATAAACTACTGTATAACTTTATTAATTACCCTAAGTAATTATTGTTTCGACCTCCCGGGTAATTGATAGAGGCGGAGTAGTTAAGAGAGGTTATTTTAGGAAGGCTAATTATAACTATTTTTAAGTGAGTAATTATTATTTCACCTTTCGAAGGGGTAATTAATAAAGGTGGGTAATTAGTTGAGGGAGGGTAAATGTATATACGATAATACTTGGGGCGCCTACTGATTTTGAATCAGATTAAACAGATAAACTCGATTATCCTCGGACCTCGACCCAACTTTGCCCCTCGACCTCGATCTCGGCTTTTCTAGCCTCGACAATAAAAACCCTTGACCAACTTCAATTAAATGAATAACCAGATACATATGTATTTAAATTAGGTAAAACGATTAAATTAAAATTCGTTAGACGATAGTCAAACATTAGGCTTTATGAATGCCAAGCCTTAAATTATGTATTGCTATCTGAAACCAAAATTAAACCCAGAGATAGTTGGTATTCAAAAAAATTTTTAAATATTTTTTATTCTAATAAAAGAATTAAAGATTTAATAAGGAAATTAAAAATAATAAATTCCTTATTGAGTGCCTACTTTCCCACCATAAATAACAAAAAAGGAAAGAATAACAAATGGTTGGCGCCAATAACAAGAAGCAAATCGAAAACAATTTTTCGAATAAAGCCAAGGCTGTTTTTATGTCAAAAGCATATATTTGTGTCTGTAGACATCAACAACTACTTACCCCCCCCCCCCCCCCACCCCCGTTTGTGCTTTACTATATAAAAGTGGGCATATGTAAAGTGTGAATAAATTTAAAGCGGGCATTGGCACTAAACAAGGAAAAAATGTAGATGTGTTTACTATGCCAAATTCACTAGCAAATAAATGTGTTTATACCTCAGACTTTGGAGTCTTATTAGCTATAAAAACTTGACAAATGTCTTACTCCCCCTCCAAATAATAAGATTCCCAAATTCTTGGAAAATCCCGAAAAAAAAGATTTTTTAGAAGGTTGGGGGAGAGAAGTTGTTCATACCACAAATTCTATATGAATTTGTCCCACTCAAAAAGTCTCAAATAATTTTTATTAGAAAATAAAAATAATTTTTTTTCCTATTCTTAATCATTATTTTATTTTTTGCCTATATTTATGTGTTGTGTTAATTTTCTCAATATCCTGCTGAGTGAGAAGGTTTGAGAAGAGAAAAAAATGGGTGGGGTTAAATTAATAGGGGGTTTAAGGAGGAATTGAAGTTGAAAATAAAAAATGATTTTTTTGTTAATACCTAAATTGATGAAAATTGAGAATAAATATGTAATTTTATAGGCAAATATTAAAATATCAAGAATTAATTATGCCCTTTTCCGTTACTCCTTTCAGCCGATTCTGTCTCTTATTTAGTAATTAATTGTTGTTGCTAATTGTTGCTAGGTTTGAATCCTAATTCAGGAGGATTATCTTTCTTTCGAAGAATAATTAGTTTGTCTTTTAATTAAAAAATTTTTTGCCTGAAGCGAAGAAAAGAATAATTCTGGCGTATTTTTCTGTTCGCTTGGCTATATGAAAATTCGAAAACTTTAGCTTTAAAAATTTTCTCGTGCAGCGCTAAAAGAAAAACTATAGCACATTAAATTATAAAATATTTCCACAAGGACCCAACAAACATTTACAAGTAAACCGAGATCAAAAAATCTCGTTCCAGTCTACCAAAAACAGAATTTCAAATAAAACACTAAAAAGCATCTAGAAAAATAATGTATTTGTAATTTCGGGCATGAAAAAAAATTTTCCTCCCACTCCTGTATTTCGATAATTCCGTTTTTATCTTCCGCTTCTGCCTCCCACCTTAAATTTTATTCCGTCTTCCAAAATAACAAAGGGCCCATCCCTGTTACATAAAATATTTTAAATTTAAAATAAAAAATATTCTTTTAAATTTTAATGGAAGGATTTTGAAGTAAAAATATATTTGCTATTGTAAAAAGTAAATAGATAAAGAAAACAAGTATTACAATAACAACAATAAAATAATAACTACACATTGTAGATGACCTCTTCCCCCCCCCCCTCCTCCCCATTCCCCCAATTTTTTTCAAAACACAAAATTAGGATGGGTGGGATCAAAGGAACTGTGGATATATATTTGCTTTTGAACCATTTCTCTAATACAAAGAGTATCTACATATTTTTCATCACAAATTGTGGGTAGCAATTAAAAGAAGTGCGCGTTAGAAAATAGGGAGAGGATTTACTAAAATATATTTTTTGGAGATTTAGGTTGATTTTTGGAATGAACTTTTGTTTGTTAATTAGACTTTTATTTGAAACTGATGTATGGAAAGGTATGAAAGAATTGTTTATTAAAAATTGGAATTGAACTTAGATAAAATTTAAAATCAAAATTGAAATGTGTTTAATTTTAACATTTTTAGAAATTTTGATTTTGACATGTATAGAGTAGAAAAAATTTAAAAAACTCAGTTAGGGTTTTGGAGGCGAAAAGTTTTATAAAATATTCTGGTTAAGGAGAAAGCATACATTGCTAAAATACGCTTACTTAAATAAACAATAATCAACTAATACTATAATTATTCGTACATTTATTTCGTTTCCCATAACCCTCAATCAAAAATATCAATCAACTTGTCAAGGATTAAATTAATTTTAAGTAGATGGATAATTATGTATTAAAATGAACCATACATTTTTTTACAAAATTAACTAAAATATATTGCAGGTATTTATAACAAAAAAATTTTTTCAGACTTGTACATACATATTCACCTCCGAATTTTACATTAAAATAAAATTCATTTTGATAAAAAAAATAAATTTAAGGAATTTTATATCTTTAAATAAATACCTTTTTTGGATTAGAAAATAATAATAAAAATAAATAAAAAAACACTTTTTCCTTTTTTCTTTCTTATATGGTAGAGGTGGATTAAGGGAAAGGGATTTAACTGCACCCAAGTGGTCAGAGCTTTGGGTCAGAGAGAGAAAGGATTTTTTAAATAAGAGGATTTGGTTTTTGAATATCCAAATAAAGAAAGGAACGGGTTCTCTTATTTGCCGTTAGCTTTTTCACAATTTTGTAGAAAAAAGGGGGAGAGAAAGGGTTACTAGTATTTTTATAGATGGGTTATATTTTAGAATGGAAGGACCGCCCGCCGGTCTTTTGTTAGCCATTAAAGAATAACCACACAATAACCACACATTTTCTCTCATCCATTTTCTGGTTGTAGTAATGGTTATTCTGTTTGTTGTTAGTCTCATTAGAGAGGAAAATTCATGAAAAAAATTTGAATAATATATAAATGTATATATGAATATATAATTTAATAAAAATTCATATAAATTAATTTAAAAATAAAAAATAAGAAATTTAAATACTGTAAATTCTATAATCTTCACATTGCATAACATGTACAATTGGGATGGGCTAATTTCGCGTTTCGAATCTTTCGCATATTTCACATTTTTCAGATCGAAGTTTCGCATTTCGCATTTCGCTTTTTATTTTTAGATTTAGCCTAGCCCTGATGTACAAGTTTAGAAAAAATACATTGAAAAATAGAAAAAAACATAGTGTAAAATAGGCTTTATGGTATTCTGTAGTATTTTTGAAAAATCCTGTTGATTAAGGAAGACAAAATTAAAAATGGAATAGGTATATTCTTCATGATTAAAATCCATTTATTTTTAAATATGAAAAAGCTTAAAATTTGTAGGTCTACATATTAACTAGAAGGATTGAAGAAATTCATTTACTCAGGGTTATTGGAAAAAATAAGAAACTTGGGTAATTTTTAAAAATTATTTTTCTTTAAATAAATCTTGGGTAACCTACTAAAAGCATTTTATATATTTTTTAGAAAAATAAATGTGTGTTTTGTGTGAGAGAATGGTCAACAACCTAAACAATGTTTGAGGAACGCGCAGCAACATATTCGCTTTTATGGTAAATTTTTAGGGGGAGAAAAATGTGAAAAGAATGGGTAAGTGGATGATTGGGGGGAATAAATAAAATAAAACAAGAATAGGCCCCTTTTCCTCCCAACCGGCGAACACATTAGCGAGTCATCCCCTCAATTTTTTTCTTTTTTTAACTACTAGATAGGTTGTGACGGGAGGATTTTGAGGAGAAAATTGAAGAAAATAAAAAAAAATATCCTTTTTCTAAATAGAGTTGTTGCGGTGCTCTGACGTTTTTGCAAAAATGTAGAAAAAAAAAGAATTGTGAAAGCCGCAACGATAAGTGGATGTTGGAAATTAAATGGGCATTATTGAGGAAAATAAAGTAAGTATAATAGAAAATAGTATATTTAAGTATAGTAAATTGTAAAAATAATGAATGCATTAATAATGGATGGGAATGGTATTTTCTAAAATATATTTTTGTTTTGCTTATTCAATTCTTTAAATTTTTATTTAAAAATACATACACGAATATATAAATGAAAATATTAAAATATTTATGTAAGTTCAAAATTTGTAGGGAGTCCCCAAGTATTATTAAACTTTTGAAAAATCAAAAAATTAGTAAATAAGGATTTAGAGAAATCTCAAAAAAATAATAGAGTAAGCAGCTGGGCTATAGCTATTTCTCCCCTTCAGCTCGTGCAAAAGGTTTTTCGGCGACTGGGAGCGAACCAGCATCTTCAGTAGACCGGACTGATTATCCAGTACACGACACCGCCTACTGCACAGCATTAGGATTTAAATAGCTATGTATATGCTTTATAAAATAGAGTATCTTGAAAAAAATCTTCGAATAACTTTTAAAACTTAACATTTTATTAAAAATTTAAAGAAAAAATTTTTTAAATTTAAATTCAAAGAATATTTTTTTAATATTCTGAGAAATCAACATTTTAACTGGTTTTATTTTTTATTATTTTCATCCCTTACATATGTGTGTCTTTTCACAAAAAATGAACAAAAAAAGTTGCTTATTTTTCACTAAGGAGTTATGACGCCTGGCACCAAAATATATTTTGTAGTATGTTTTATTTCCTTCTTATTTTTACCCCAACTGCCAACTGGCTCTTTGCTCTTTTTAAAATTTGCTTTCCCACTTATTTTCCTCTAAATCCTCCTTCCATCTGTCCCTTTCCCCCATCTTTTTTTACTACCCCAACCACCAACTTGCGAGCTTTGGCCTTGATAATATTTTAGTATTTGTGTGTGTGTATGTATTTGTTGTTTTGTTGTCCCCTCAACTGTACATATACACAAACAATTGTGGTAAGTAAAAGTTGTTAGATATTCGGGAAAAAGGTTGGTTGGGCTTTGTCTAGTAGATAAATATAAAAATAAACAAATAAACACATTAGCGTCTAGAATATTAAATATTGGGTAAAGAAGAATGGAAATATGTATGTAATTGTACTCACAAATTAGGAAATATAAGATGAATTGTAATTTTGGACTTTAAATAATTCTGAAAATATAATCTATTAGTTAGTATTTTATATCCTATGAAAGCAGAGTAGGCAATAGAGATAGGTATTTTAAAAATCCTGGATCTGAATTTAGGCTAGTAACGTGGACAGGATTCAGGATCTCGATCCAGGAAAAATCCAGGACGATCAAGAAATGCTTGGATCTGGACTTTGGATCCAGGAAAAATCCAAACTGGATCCAGATCCAGACCGATCTCTAGTGGGTAATAATACCCAAAATTAAAATTTAAACAATGATTCTACATTTTTGGGAAGAGCTGAAATTAAACGAGATACTGAATCATCCAAAACTCTTTTAAAGTATCTCTAAAACTTGTACATATAATACAAAATAATTCACAAATTATAAAATCCAACTTGCCTATAAAAACTTTCTATTAAACAAGCTCCCGAAATATCCCTCCCATCCTCTCCCAATTTTTAAATAGTAATTGGCATTTAATAATAGACAACAAAAACTAAATTTATAATTACTTTGCGCAGAAAATAAATTTATTTTTGCTTGAAGGAAATTGAACAGACAAAATGGGAGAATAATGGAGGAAAATAATAATAATACAAAAAATATTGTGAATAGACAGACAATGCTCGGATGAATTTAAAAATATTTTTATATATTTACTTGATTTTGAAGGACAAATTAATGTATTACCTAAATTTTTTAATTTTAGAAAATAGAAATTTTAATAGGGCTATTTATATTTAGACAAAATTTAAAATATTTTTGTTAACAAAAATTAAAGAAGCTTCATTGAGAGCTTCATCTGAAGAATTTACCCTCCCCCTCTTATTATTTTTACAATAATGCAAACTTTTTAATGGGTTCCTTAAATTTATTGTTATTGGTGCCTAAAGCGCTGGAAAAAGGATTTCTAAAAATCCAAAACACTAAATCTGTTAAATAAAAGAAAGGGAATCATTCTTATAGAAATACAATGAATTATTAAAAATAGAGGTAACGGATAATAGCGGTGCCGGTTACAAGACATCGAGCTGGGGTAAAATGATGGCATCTGCCTTTGACAAACTTATAAATTTTAGGCATAAGAGGAAGATAACAAATAAGTACCGAGAAAAAGCTTAAAACTCTCCTTTAAAAGTTTTCAAAATATTTTCACTTAAATTTTATATTTTTCTTATGACTCTTTCCCTAATCTCTTCTTTATATTTTCAATTTATTTTAGTAGAACCTATTTTCAAAAATATTTTCAATCTCCAATTTTCCTCATTTTTAATTCTCTCCTATTTATTTTTAATGTCTTGATTTTATTGCGTCGCTCATTACGCTTAGAGAGTTCACCATCCCATCCTTTCCCTTCCCTCCTGCTTTTTTTCTTCCTTCTCCCAATATTCCCCGTTGGCGCCTCTTCACTATTTTTAAAGTTTTGTTGCATTGCGCAATTGGATGTTTTTTTTATTTAGTTAAAAAAAAGGGAAAGATTGAATAATTGACTTCTTCAAAAAAAGTTTTTAATAAATAAATAAAAATTTGTTGATGAGGAAATGAAAAAATAATTGAAGAAAAAAAAATTGTTGGAGGACGAGGAAAGAAAATTCTAAAAAAGTTGAAAAGTTTTTTGAAAAAAATTGTGAATAAAAATATGCACTTGATAAATTGAATTGGAAAGATTTTATTATTATTTTTTGAAGAAAAATAATATAAAAATTAAATTTGAAATAAAAAAATGAAAGAATAATTTAATGAAGAAATGAGAGGAAGAGGGAAGATGAGAGGAAAGAGTGTAGAGAATTTGAAGAGAATTGGGAATTTTAATAAAAATTTTATTTTAAGAATTTTAACGTTAGAGATTAACTCAAAAACTTTTTTTAAAGTAAAATTTAATCCTCTTTGCGCAAAAAATTAAAAATAAAAAGAAAAATCTGCTTAAAAACTTTTAAAGGGCAAATTTAGAAATTTTTAGAAAGTAAAGACTTGAAAAGAATTTATTTTTGTTTAATTAATTATTTAAAATAAAAAAATATTTAATATCATTCTTAAGTATATTTACAAGTTTTATTTAAATATTGTAATTATTATTGTGTATTTTAAGTGCTTTTCTTAAATTTTTGTTGCGATTTTAAGTGTTGCGAATTTACGTGCGCAAAATTATTATTGAAAGAAATGACCTGAAAATAAAATATTTTTTTAAAGATTTTTGTTAAAATTTAGAAAATTACAAGTTAATTATTAATTTGTTTAGTGTAACTAAAACAAAAAATAAATACAAAATATAATAAATTCTAGTTAATGTTGAAGGTTCCGGAACCATAAAAATAAAGTTTTTTTTAAATATTTTAATTTTTCTTTTCACAATTAATTATTTAATAAGCTTTTTTTGTTAACAAACAAATTGAAGAGAATATATTATTTTTAGGAAAAATTAAAATAAAAACAGATTACGAACAAAAGTGCCAAAATATGGACTGATATTATAAAAATTTCAATTCCTAACGGAGCTTAAAGATATAGTGTTTTAGATTTCTACAAGTGTTTTGAGTGTTTTAGTCTTCTACAAATTCTGAAAGAAATACAAATTTTCACATAATTAAAAGCCCTAATAAATTTAAAAAATAATTATATTTTATAATATTTTAATAAATATACATATTTAATGCATGAAAATTAATCAGACTTTATAATTTCACTTAAATAGAATAACAAATTTTCAAAAAAGTTAAAATATTATTTGAAAATTTTACATTAAGCCCGTCTCTAATTAAAATTTAAAAAATATTTATTTTATTTGTAAAAATTTTTTCAGATTATTATATTTTTCCAAAGGAAATATTTCTTAGTGAAAACAAAAAGATCTAAAAGTAGACAAAAATATTTTTAAAAAAATATTTTATATTAATGGCAACAACAAAACAAAAATAAATTGGCCGTTCCTTTTATTTTTTAGATACAAAGTACCTAATATATATATTTATTTAGTATGTGGAAGTAATTCGAGAATTCCTTCTCTATTTTTTATTTAAAATTTAGACAAAAACAAATGGCTGTCAGAAAAGAAAATACTAAATTTGTAACAAATGTTCTTGTTATTTTTTTAAATAAAAAATAAATTAATATTTATTAGAGTAAATAAATTTAAAACTTTCAAACAATTTATTTTTTTATTAAAAAATTTTTAACTTTCTTCAAAATTAAAAGAAATTTATTTTAAAGAAAAAGTATTTTTAATTAATTTTAAATTAAAATAAATATTAAAGATAATTTAAATTTCTTTAATAGAAAATTCTAACGTATGATAAAGTGCAACCCCTCCCTCCTACCTCCCTCCTCATTTCTCTTTATTTAAATTTCTTTTTTTATTTTCAATAATTATTGAGTAAAGGGCAACTGAAGGGATGATTCAAATTTATTTTTTGAAAATCATTTGATGAATAGGAATTGTTGGGAGGAGAAATTAATGTTTAATTAAAGTGTTTAAGCAGTTAAAAGTTGGAGAAAAATATAGAAAATAATTAAGGTTAAAAATTTCTGGCTAAATTTTGGAGAAATTATTCTGGCCTGGAATGTTGTGTGCCACTTGATAAGAGGAAAACTCATAGTTGAGTAGTTGATACACTAATTGGCCGACCTGTTGCCATTTGAAATTAAAATTCTTGGTTACCCACAATACTTTTAATAACTTAATTTAAATCTATCCAATTTTAGATTTAAGAAATCATTTTAAAAAAGTGATAGGAAATAAATTTATTTTTAATACTTTTGTTATTGTTGCCCTACCCAGGGATTGATGGAAGCCTTTGGAGAGGGAGGGAGGGTAGAAGAAGTAGACCACACCGCCATTTGCTTTTGTTGAGGAAAAAAAGATAAAAAAAATGTCCAGCAGCGTTATATATTCTTGTAAAATAATTCAACTTCCTCTCTTTATATTCTTTTACAAAGGCAGATGGTCAAAATGAGGGGGGATTTATTGAGGAGGAGAGCCGGATTTGCCTTTCTGCCTGATGATTTTGAAAAGAGAAAATGGCAGAAAATGACGGTGGAGGAAATTGAGGGTATAAAAATTGAGAGAAAAAAGAGGAGAGGGGGGAGGGGATTTTGTTGGGAAGGCTACTGGCCGGATGGACGCACATCTGCTATTTCTTCACGGTACACCTCAATTGAGTCCGCACGATTGAGTCCCCACGATTGAGTCCGCACGATTGAGTCCCCACGATTGAGTCCCGGCACAATTGAGTCCCCACGATTGAGTCCGCACGATTGAGTCCCCCTTGTATATACCTCAATTGAGTCCCCGTAGATTTAATTATATTAAAAAGGATTAAGAGGGATATCTGGGGATTTGGGGGGATTAAAGTGAACATCAAGGGGACCTGTATGTGACATCGAGGGATCAAGTTGGATATCGGTGAATATTAAGAGATATCAGTAGATTTAAGCGATTAAGGGGGATATGGGTGGATATTGTGGATTTGGGGATTAGGCGGGATATCGAGAGATTTTTTGAATGACAGCTCATTCGAATGAGCTGAGTCGAATGACACAAAAATCAACATGGTTCTCGCCGAGATATGGGGCTCGAAATGGTCAAATCCACGGGGGAATTTTTGGGGACAAAAAATTCGAATATTAAATTATACCTCATTCGAAAGGGCTCGACGAGCTGAGTCGAATGACATCAAAATCAGCTTGATTCAATGATTCTGAACAAAGTTATGACCAACTGAATCTGCGCTGGAAAACTGTTTTGTGCTGCTACGGAGGGTATGTGGGGTTCAGCAGGGGTGCACAGGTGGTCTGTCCGGCATTTATATTTTAAAAAATAGAAATTTTGGAATAATCCCGCATGCCGGATATGGAAATTTTAAACATATTAAATCCACGGGGACTCAATTGAGGTATATACAAGGGGGACTCAATCGTGCGGACTCAATCGTGGGGACTCAATTGTGCCGGGACTCAATCGTGGGGACTCAATCGTGCGGACTCAATCGTGGGGACTCAATCGTGCGGACTCAGTTGAACTGCTCCGATTTCTTCAACCTAAAGAGCCCTCCACTTGGCGACAAAGGCCATTTGAATGTGAAGAGAATTTGACAATAAAAAAATTTTTAGAAAAAAATAAGAAAAATTGAAAGAATATGTAGAAGAAGAATAAATATATAAATTAGACATTAGATAAAAAAAATAGAAATATAAGATTCTGATTCATATTTAAATTGGAAAGTGAGAGATATCTCAGCCCGTAAAACCACAATCGTTGATTCGACATATTTTACAGAATTCTCACATAATTATGTATATATTGGAGAATTCTGTAAAATAAAGTAGAAAATACTCTCCTCTAATATAAAAGTACCGGTGATTCTAGAATCGAAACAAAACAAAAATTTTTGTTTGTTATTTAGAGAAATGTAATTTAAAAAAGTCCATTTACAAACACTTTTAAGTGCTTCTGTTACTATAAAATTTCCTTTATTTCCCCCTACTTAAACCATCCATTTTCGGCGGTGTTTCCCATAGCCAAATGCGCAATTTGTGAGTGTTATAAATGTATGTGAATTATTTATTTATTTATGATGATGAAGGCCTTGATGTTAGTGACCAATTTATTTTTGAAAAAATGTAAATTATGTGAAACATAATTGCCTACTAAAAGGGTCTTTAATTAAGAAACTTGTAAAAAAAATATTTTTGAAACTTGTGAAAGAGAGTTAAGAAACAGAAGTACTTACGTATGTAATACAAAAATAATTTCCTCAGAAATTTCCAAGTCTTGACTCAAGACTGTACTTGGGTTTTTTCCGGCCTTGGGGTCTAAGGCACGAAAAATAACCCAAAAATTTGTCCTATGGGACCACAATGGCCTTGATTTTTTGTTGATTTTTGGTCTTGAATCTTGGAAAATTTCCTGTCTTTGAAGTCTCTAAGAATTCCTATCTATAATTTACTTTTAAAGGTTCAATTAACATTTAAATTTAACAAAAGACAAAAAATTAAGTAAATTCTACAGTTTTTGAATTTGTGATGTTTTAATTAATGATTAAAAAGCGAAAAAAGAAGAAAGTTTTAAACTCAATTCTAGAAATAAATAAATAAAAGTTTATTACAAATCTGTTTTTAAATAAAAGATTTAAATTTAAAAAAACTTTGAGACTTAATACAAAACAGATAATAGAAGTTCTTTTATTGAAAATAAATTGAAGTAAGAAGGGGTAAAATAATTTTTAGAAAAGACGAAAGAAAAGTCGTTGTTAAATTGCACTTTTTGTTTGTTAAAAAATTTTAAAGGAAAAGGTTGGAGGAAATAAAATTTAAAGAAAAATAAAATATTTTTAAGAAATTTATTGGGATATTTTTAAAAATAAATATTAATTTTTGTTTAAAATTTAAAAAGTTAAAAAAAAATATATTTAATTATTTAAATACAAATTATCTTTAGAAAAATATTTT